AGAAATTAAAATTCAGAAAAAGAAAAAAGGAGCATAGTGCAGAAGCAAGATGATCGGTGAGTTCTTTTATACGGATAAGACATGAAGGGCAGAGAAGCTCTACTTGTTTTTAGGAGGAAACATGTCAATCGTTCTCAGCTTTTAAAACTTTTTAATTCAGAATATGAAAATGAAGCTCACATAACCCCAACAGATTTAAAGCAGCTACAATCAATCGTTCCGTGCAACAGCAACAGCAACCATCCTCACTGACAGCCGTCCATCTGTCTGCGTTTCTGATCAACAAAACTTATTAACTGATTCATTTCTACAGCATATCTTGTTCGCTTCTGAATCAGTGAATTCACTGCAGTTTCTCTTCCAAGTCCAGATGGTTGTGGTGATATGATTCTCAACTAAAATGCTTGTTGAGTGAATAAAAACACTATTTAATCAGTTATTTTAGTTTTTCCGACAAATGGCTCTAATGCAACATTGTAGGTTTGCATGGTGACCCAAATCGCCACTGTGACTGCACCATTTACGGTCACAGCTGGCAGCTGTTTTCAGCAAAAATCTCTTGAACTCCTGCTGTACATTTTCTACTCTCACCAAACAGCAGACAGACACAGTTAAGCCCCTTATTTGACATGCACTCCTTTTCGGCTTCATGTTGGTGTGAGCGCCCTGCATGGTCACTGTTCTCTGAACAATAGTGAGAACAGTCTTTCTAGGTCAGACTATGCAACAGCTTAGTCTGGTATATCGACCCTGCAGATATAAGGGTCCTTGTGGGTTCTAATTTCCAACACAGCACAAGTCTGTATGGCATGCTGTTACACTAACTGATGGGCATCCTCGTGGCATAGCAATCCAACTTCTTCTGCATTATCTTCTTCTGATGCTTCTCTTAAGGAGATGCCACATTGGGTCATCTGCCTCCACCTCAACCTAAATATGTCATGGTCCTCCAGTTCTCATGGGCATCTCTGCCTGCTGTTTGTCTTTCTTCCTCTCTGTCTCTCATGATGTGTGTGTGTGTGTGGATAACCACACCTTACCTTAAAGGGGTGGGGTCTTCCTGGATTTCCGCCCTGTTTGTCATCAGCTAATCTGCTGGCAGCGTACCTAAGCTGGAGGCAACCCTTTACTGCTTATCTGAGTGTCACACTGCGTTAGTGAGCCTGCTGGCCTGCAAGTCTGTTTTCAGTTGTTTATCTAAAGATTTCTAGTCTCTCATTTCCTCTGTGCAGGATCCTGGATGTTTCCCTGCTACGGTGTTCATGTGAGAGACACAATTGTAAAGGAAACTCTGCAGACTTGGATTTACTAATGGACGCACTACCTGAAGACCGTTTTGTAAATGGAGACTGTGGATTATTTCCTGTTAGACGATTTTGTAAATACTTCATTTGCAGCAACCACTGTAAAGAAATTAATTTAACCTGCTTTCTGAGTCCTGCATTTGAGTCCAGCCTGCCTATTGACCACAATAAAATACATGGAGGAAAATATCATCACATGTTAAATCATTTGTTTTAAATTTCTCTCAGAGCCTTTGTTTAAGGATAACTAGCTATTCCTAATGGCATAAAGATGCTGACAGTGATTATTGCCACAATTGTAAAACATTTTGTATGGATATCCCTTGCACTCTCATTAAGTAAAAACTTTAATGTAAGAGTTAGCTATGGGCTATTCCACATAAAATCTATTAAAGAAATTCTCCCTCGGCCACATCAGAATCAATGTATTAAAAGAACGTGCAAGTATTTTCATCATTTCCTCATAACTTCATAACTGCAGAACCTAGTTACAGGAAGTCAGAGCTGAAAAAAGCAAAAATGACAACCAAATCAATTTCACGCGTTGTTACTGGCCTTTAACGTAGACTCAATGTCTAAAAGGGAACAAATTTTTTTTTTTACTTTTTATTTTGTACTTTTTCCAATTTTATAGTACATGCAAACAAAAATATGAAAAAAGAACACAAAAGAAACAAACTAAAAAAAAAAAAAGGACACCTAATCTAAAAAAAAGGAACAATTTAATGTCTATGATGCAGAAACAAGCACCAATACCTTGTTTTGTCCTCATTGTTGATGTTTTATCTATTGTCACCTTATGGTCATGATTTCAATGACAGCATGAATTTTACTTTAGTTCTAAATGACAGAACACTGTCGCCTGAATAAAACGATAATTCTAGGAATGTTACATGTCTGAAAATGCTTTTAGTGATCAGATAAGATAAGATAAGATCACCTTTATTAGTCCCACGCGTGGGAAATTTGTTTTGCCACAGCAGGAAGTGGACAGTGCAAAAGTTATGAAGCAAAAAATTAGCTGGTGAACACAGTGAAGCATTTTGTTGCCAAGGAGGAGAGCAAACCAGAGCTAAATACAGAGGGCATATTGGACCCAAATTCATCAGACACCTGGAAACGTGTCCATATAAGTGTCGGGGTAGTTTGGTTTCTTTCTATGGCAACAGATAGCTGTGAGTCATATTAACTCAGTGTCACAGTTTGTTTCGTCTGTGAGCAAATTAAAAACTTGTGTGCCGACTTTCATTTATCAACTCATAGGGCTGATGTTAGCCGTGCCATTTCTGTTATGATAAAACAGAAAATCAAAATAATTAATTTACATTAGTTACATTTTTATTAATATACATGAACCACAGATCGTAATTTATTCTCATCATGTCAGCTAAAGCAAATTACCGACCTGTCTGGTTCTCTCCACCCTGTCATTCACTGGCTATTGATAATCTATCAGCAGGCTCCACTTTGTGCTGTTCTGAACTGGAGTGATGGATGGTGTTAGAAAAGCAATTTACAACCAGGAAGTGGAAAAATACATCAAAAGGTTCATCTGGTGACAAGCGGAGTGTGTACGTTTATGTGGATTGGTGCTGGAAACAAATGAAAATAGGCTCTGAGGTTTGTTTTATTCATTTTAATGCTACCTATTTTATATTTACACGTGATTAAAAGGCGAAATGTCTTAATAATGGGTAGCTGCTTATTCTAGTAGCTGCAATGACGTGACAGTAGAGATCCTGTTTCAGAGTTGATGTATAACATAACCAATTTTGCATCAAATAAAGGTGGAGTAAGGTTAATGTTGACATATGCAAAACCTGGTTTATAAAGTCCCATATTTGAAGCCTTGATTTTAGCATTTAAGCCACTGATGGTTTATTTTTGGAGCCAGGTGGGAAGTAAGGAAGTACACTTCATTACTGTACTTAAGTACAATTTTCAGGTTTTTGTACTTGAGTAGTTTTTTTTCTAACTACTTTTTAACTTTTACTCCCTACATTTTTAAACAAATATCTGTACTGTACTAAAGAGTCAACTGCTGTATTTCACAGGGAGAGAAAAGGAAGAGAGCTGACTTCATTCAGAGATGGAGAAAGATAAGAAAAACAGGACAGGAGAAGAAGAAGAGAGGTGAGATTTAGAGGTAAGGACTGCTCAGTGCTTACATGTAAGTTTTTAAATCAGATTTTGATTATGCGACATTATGGGTTTTTTTTCATATTGCGAAACATGCTGCAAAACAAACTGAGGTAGACTAACTGTGTTATTTAAAAACTGCATGAAAATCCTCTGCAGGTTAGTGCAGGATAAACAGGTTGCTTTACTGTGATGGATTTAAAGTAAAGAACAGTGTGTGACTGGTGCACAGCGACTGTGCTTTCAGAGTTAGGTTACATAAAGTGCAGCAGAGATTCATATGATTTTAGCTGATGATGCTGAGATCCATTCACTAAATTCCAACTTTATACCGTCTAGGAAAAAGACAACATAAACAGTGTACTGTCGGTGTAGAGGATGGAAATCAGCCAGGACAACTCATGAAACATCTGCTGACATCTTGTTGAATTCAGTTGTGTACATCCACAAAGAGCAGCAGGTCAGCTGATCACAGCCTGCACACTATGAAAATCTACTGGAGCTCTCAATAGAAATTACCATGAGTTATGATTCTTTTCCCCACACTGAACCATTACAGCAAATTTTAGGGTTCTTCCACCTGCTGAATCCACTTTAACCCCCTGACTGTACACATTTTCCTGTTTAGAGGCAAAGATGCCCTCTACAATGTAGGAAACAGGAAATAGATATATATTTTTTATTTTCCTTCTTTTCCCTCTGATTCAAGCTGAATATGATTAGAATTTTCAAAAAGACTAAGGTTTTTATTCTACTGATATTATTTTATCATTATGTTAATATAGCACAAGGTTCAGCTAGCTTCGTACAAAATGGAAACACCCTCCAAACTTTTTACTTTCTTACTTTGAATACATTTCAGAGTCTGTACTTTTTTACTTTTACTTGAGTCAAGAAGTTGAATCAGTACTTCAGCTTTTACTGGAGTATTTTTTTAACAGTAGGATTTGTACTACATAAGTACAGATTGTTTGTACTTTTGCCAGCTCTGGTTATTATCATCTCTGGCTCTCTTCCACAGCAGGTCTTTGTCCTGTCCCCCCCTGTTGAGGCAGATGGCTGCCACTCCCTGAGCCTGGTTCTTCCTGTCAAAACGGAGTTTTTCCTTCCCAGTGTCACCAAGTTCTTGCTCATAGGCCAGGTCAACAGTTAGATGACCTGGTCATAGGCGGTCATCTAATTGTTTTTCCTCTTTATTATTGAAGAATAAGTAACTTACAGTATTGAGGTGACTGTTGTTGTGATTTGGTGCTACATAGATAAAATTGAACTGAAATGTTATTAGGTAAAATCTACCTTAAAACTGTAATTAAGTTTCTTGAGTAACTTTACTTTCCAGCATTGCAGCAGTTATGGCGGTTTATTATTAGTGGTACATTTTGGAGCGCTTTGCTGGTACAACATGTCAGGTGTCACCATATCTAAAATCGTGTCCTCTTATGTTTACAGTGCTAATTACAAACACACAACATGCATCCATGTGAGTGGCGGTTTCTGTTTGCACAGCTCATGAGAAATGGTGAAAAGCAGCTTATGGCTCCTGTGTTTGTTCTTGTAATTACCAAAACTCATTAAGCAGCTCCTCAAAGTCCCCATGAGCCACTGTACGAAGCAACAGTAACAGATGGTTAGCACATGTTTGTGTACATACAGCACATATATAGGTCAGGTACGCCACAGTAACTGGTTGCCATGGGAACTGGGTATCAAACATGAGTGCAATCTCTCGGAGAAATCGACTTGTGGCCGAGCTCTCGCTCCCACACCTCTAATCCCCCTTTTAGCACTTAACCATTTTGGATTATCCCAAGATTATGATGGAATATAAATTTAAATGTATGAGCTTTGGAGGGTTTTCTTGGAGAGAAGGGAGATGAAGCATCACTTTAGATTAATAATCTAAGGCAAATCTAGCCAACGAGAAGCACCCTTTTATCTTCCCTTTGCTTCCACTAACCCTAACGAACTGCAAGCAAACAAACAAATCACACACTTTGACCTGGAATGTTATTATTTCCTCTTGGTGCCCGTCTCAGATGTGTTCATACATGACCTTGGGCATTCACAGGCAGCACAAAGGGATTCTCCCTGCCTGTCTCTGCCAGTCTCCCATCATCACACACAGACTTTATACACACACACAGTCACAAATGTTCGCTCTGTATGGTGAGACCACGTGATTGGATGCAGTGAGCTGGTGATGCATGCTGAATGCTGATGAGGTTCTTTCTTGAAAAAAGGAAAGCGGTAGAAAGCTTCCTCTGTGCCTCTAAGACAGAGAGGACGGAAAGGAGAGGGTGGCATTCATCAATGTCAAACCCTGCTCTCACCTCCTGGTTAGCCTGTACTGGTGTGTGTCTCTGTGTACCGCCACATATCCACACACACAGGCAGGAAATGCTTTCTCGCACTCACGTGTCACTCTGATGTTTTGGGGATTTTTTTCTCATCACCTAATTCTTTGTCTTTATGCCTCTGAGAAGTGAAGTATTCAGAACACTCCAGCTCTTTCTCCGCTGCGTTGTCCCATGCCTTCCTGCTGTGGATGTATACACAAGCTGGCTTTGTCCTCACGGTGGCCCAGTTTTTATGTCTGCCCAGGCTAATGTGGTGAAAAATTAGCTTGAGGCACACCAGGGAAGGTTTTCGGGTCAGCGGCATGCAAAGCACTTTCTGGTGTGAGACAGCTGCATATATGGACATTGAGAGTTAATACACAGGATTAACAACCAATCATCAATAAGACCACCGTGTGTCAGGTCAGGTTATTTAGGTCAAGGTCTGAAGTAGCAATTTTTCCTCCACCGTCGTCTTTAAATGATTAAAATGCACACCATTAAATCTTTTACATGCATCTGTGCAATGTGCAATACTCATAGATTTAGTGAAATTAATGACAAGAAAATCAAACATAAATACCATATTTCCAACGTGTTTTCTAAATTGTTGGACCGCCACACTGTTAATGGCATCACTTTATGGTGCCCTCGTTTTCTGCCATGACTTAATGCCACGTGACTGAACAATTAATGCCACCAGCTGTTTTTGAAGCAGCTGATGTCCATGGCAAGGGTAGTGGAAGAAGACATAAATTCCACACACTGCAGTTTAAACTTGCATAATGACCTGAAAATTTCTATTTTTTTTTATTTACTTCTACAAATCCAAATCTGTGAAATTTGGGATGCTGTGTAAAATATAAAAAAACCACAGGAAAAACCCAACACAGAGGGTATATCAAGCGATAAAATTGACACGTTTTATTGTTTCATGAGAAATATTATATCATTTTGAATTTGGTGGCCGCAATACATCTTAAAACACTGTTTGGACAAAAGACAAAAGCTTGGGAAATAAGGAGTACTACAGATCTTAGAGAAGCAAAATTGTGAAGACTTAAATCTCATCAACCGATTACAAAAATTTGGTGAAATCTCTGTACGTGCAAGGACAAAGTCGAAAATCAGTCTTGATGTCTGATCTGTGGGCCCTCAGGCAACACTGCATTATAATTGGGCTCTATCAGTCAATCACTGGGAGTTGAACACTTCCAGAAATTACTGTCTGTTTGTTCACTGTGCCATCTACAAATACAGCTTAAAGCTTTATTGTTGCAAAGAAGAAACAATATGTCGACCCGTCGTCTTCTCTGAGCCAAAGCTCGTTTAAAAAGGACTGAGACAAAATGAAAAACTGTGGTCAGACCTCTGGAGTAACAAGGAGAGAGAGCCTGCAGCTTATAGTCAGTGCTCCGTTTTTAAAGCCTGCATTTCTGATAGCACTTGTGTCTGTAAAGTTGACATCATATACAGGTTTTAGAACAAAATATGTTCCCATTCAGATGATTACTTTTTCAGGGTAGGCCTTGTAAATTTCACCAAAACAATGCTAAACTCCATACTGCATGTATAACAACAGCGTGGTTTTGCAGTAATAGAGTCTGGATGGTGAACTGCCCTGCCTGCAGTCAGGAACTGTCTGAAAACATTTGTCCATCATGAAACAAGAACTATGACTAAGAAGTCCCAGGACTGTTGTGAAGCTACTGGTCTTAGTTCTCAGAGGTTTATGGACTATTGTCAAAGAAGAGCAGGTGCTCCAGTTTTTTGTTCTTGTTGTTTTTTTAGAGATATGTTACTTCCATCAAATTCAAACTGAGTCAACAGTTTTCTTAAACTCGTTTGTTTGTTAACCTTCTGTGTTCTGTTGTGAGGGGTTTATGAGATAAGCAAATCATTGCATTCTGTTCTTATTTACATTTTACCCAGCACCTCAAATTATTTGGAACTGGAGTTTATTATCATTTTCTAGTTTATTCTGATTTTGCATTAGTTCTTTGGGTTTGGTTGTCACATTTATTATCCCTACCTGTGTCTTCCCTCTGTGCTCTGTTCGGGTGCCTGAGTTTTGTGTTGTAAAACAGTCTGTGCGTTTCCTGTTTTACTTTGTAGGTCTGTGTCTCGTTATGCCCATTAGTTCCAGCTGTGTCCCCTCCTGTGTGCCATTTCCTGATTACCTGGTGTGTGTATTTATAGTATGTGTCTGCCTGTGCTCCTCGTTGCGTCGTCTGCATTTCTCTGCATCCTTTTGGTATATCGCCGTGGCGCTCTGTTCCTCGCCTCCCGTCCTCTGTTTGTGTTAGTTTTCCCAGTTTAGGTTTCTGTTCAGTTCTGCCCTCACCTTGGGTTTTTCACTGTAAATAAATCTCCACCTGCACCTCCACTGCCATCTGCATCTTGGGTCCTCGTTCATTCCACCACACGACTGCTGCCCCAGCCGTGACAGTAATGCCATCTTTAAACACTAACAGTGCACAACTGACAGACATCAGAAATCATCAGTAGTATTTATTGGCAATAAAATTAATCTTTATTCTTTAATTCCTGCCGTCAGGTGTTAGTTGAAGACTCAACAATTGTAATAAATATACAGTACCCTTGAGGTTTGACTGTCACATATAATCCTGGGGCTGTCTTAAATGTTAGAGTAATTAACTACTCCACCACTATTCATTTATCTGGTGAAAGGATTTCATAAGAATTGTGGTTTAGAAAGTTTAAAGAAATCCCCACGAAGGAAATGCTCTTAGATTGACTTCAGCAGGTTATATTCTGCTCTGAAGTTCCCTCAGGTTAATCACTCTGCATCCGAGCACAGCTTTGAGCTTCGGTGTGAGGAGTAATTCTAATACTGCAATACTGCAACGTGCCTTGCTTTGAGCTGCAGGTGGCCCTCTGTGTTGAGTCCGGGCTAGGATGCTCTGTGGTTTTATTAGACCGTGCTCGCTCTGGCATTTGCACCACACTCCCAGTGGATGAAAATATCCTACCAAGCATGCTTTTGCTTTTGCTGGCCCTCACATTCATCTGATAGCTGTGCTCAGATCCAACACTCACATCCAGTCGATGTCACAGTCTTTGCTGTGATCGGAAAGTGACACGACAGCACACTCGTCTGAAATAAAAATGTGCCGTCCTGCTGTACACTTTTACACCACTAGTTTTTGTTTCTCTGATGAGTAAATACACCAGATTCAAGGAAACACAGGGGTCAAGGTCTATGAGTAAGAAGACTTCGTATTACACTGAACGGGTATTTTAAAGCTATACATAATTAATAGTTTACTAGATTGGTTACCTCTAAGAATGAACTGAAATCCAATTATCTCACTTAAAGACTCTTCTGGACAAATGAGCCCGGCATTAAATCTTCATGTTAATTAAATCCATCTCCAGTGGTATGCATCCCAGCATAGCATACTGTCTTTCCATATTATCTGTGAGGAAGAGCATTTTCCACCACAGGCAGGGGCCCAGTGATGAATCAGAGGCGATGACATCTAAATCGTGAGTCATCAAAACAAACCAGCCAAATGAATTAGATGTACCTTGTCAATGGGCTGACTCCTGAAAAGAGAGCACCCCTTTTGACAGCAATTCAAATGCTTGCTCTGCGGTAAAAAAAAAAAAAAACGTTAAAAAAACATACCGTGTGCACACCACAAACAAAACGCGTACATCATTAACATTTCAACTGACCTTTTTCTGTGTCAAAATACACCCGGTGATGTCAAATAGCATCACACACACACAGAGGCACACAAACACCAGGAAATACCACCCGCCCTTGAATCAGAGTCACGTTTAAAAAGCTTCACTTCAGGGAGCCACAGTTATTAAAGACACTTTTGCTTATTTTCCCCCAGCTGACAGTCTCATTTCATCTTCGGTGCAACCCATCAGACACACTCCAATGATTATAGGGCCATCTTGTGGTGCTCATAGGCAATAAACCCAGTCACCAAGCACTTCAAAAACACCTCTAAAGTCTTAAAAACAGGACGAAGAGTGCGCCTTTAATGATGATGAGCAAAAATCACGGGAGTTGCTCCAAGTTAAGTCTTCATTTCACGTTGAACATCCAAGCTTGCCACATATCTAATGTGTGATATGCATCATCTCCACTCCCCTTTTGGCAGCTCATATTTTTAGGTTAGGCTGCGTGATCTTCCTGACACCTTCATCTTTCCCCATCCTCCCACCTCCCAAATAATGACTACCTGCATAGGAAATATCATTAGAAAAGAATTTTCTCAGTTTTTTCTCTTTTTCCTGCCTCTAACATCGCCACATACACAACAATAATCTCCCTTTTTACTCATAAATGTGTCTTTAATGATGTAATCTCATTCACCTGAGCTCAAGGTGCAACAACCCCAAATCCAACTGTATTTCAAATTTATTACAGTCACACTGGGACAACGTTTGCTACAACAGATGCTGATGTTCATAAAGTGAAACTATTGTAGGTGTGGCTGGGAAAAAATGAGTCATATAAGGGTGGCATATAAACATGAGATTCAAACTAAAAAAAGAAAAAGTTCAATCATACTTCCATATTTAGTTTTAAATTTAAATTAAGAGAAATTTGTAAAAGATAAAAAGAAACCTATTGCTTGACACTTACTGCTAAACCAGTCGCCCTAATAAAAATATATATTAGGAAAGGGGAAAAAAGGGGGGAAAGAATACGTACTTTCATCATAACAAAAACACCCAACTGCAGTAAATGTGCAATTTCTAGAGAGCAGAAATGAAACTGTCTCATTCACTCTCTGTATTACACAAACAGTGTCCTTGGACTCGGTTGGTGTGGTCAGTTTTGCATCAGATGATTCCTCTGGGAGCTCAAATCCCAGCAGAAGGCTGCGGGAGTAGCGAGGGTGAAGGTACCACAGTAACTTTGGTGTTTGGGGACTTTCATTTCCACAAATGTTAACCCTCTTCAGACACCCTGAGTAGCATTGAAAGAAAGGGGAAGAAAACTTGTACAGAGGAAATTTAAAGTTAAAGAAATATCCTGAAATAATCATTAAGATTACTATCATTTATACCGATTTTATTTTAGTAACTTCTTTATTTATAAAGCACTTTTCACAGATATGTAGTAATAATACAAACTATGAATAACTGCAATAAAATATAATAGAAAATCAATAGATAGATAGATCCAAGTTGGTGTTTAATTTTATACAAATTATGTTGTTTATTTACATTTGGAGGGCACTGGCTATATATGAATATAATGATTTATATTATTTGAAAAATGAAGCAACCTGGCACATTATTAAGCCGGGGCTTTTGTTGTGGGGGTCAGGGGCCCCATGTCAGTGGTCTGCTTGGCCCAGTTGGTGATCCAGCTTTGTATTCATCTCCCCTTGAGTTTTTGTTATGCCTATGCCCAAAAACAAATAGGAGCTTTATTGTTGTGCATGAGGCGTATATAACTAGATATACCTGCTCAGCTTTCTAGTCCACAGAAATGCTTGTGAAGTTGTGCTTTTTAATGAACTTCTCTTTAAAAGACAAACCAGCAGTAAACAGTAAACCTGGCGCTGGGAGGGACTTGTGCTTTCATTGAAGTGTTACTGAAGCCACTCTCCCCTAGTTCACAGAGCGGGGTCAGGGGCCCCCTTCAGGTCTTTGAAGGCGTCTTTCGCGGAAGATTATTAGGCTGCAGACAGTCAGTCAGACAGACATATTTACAGCATTCACACACAGCTGCGGACTAATTTTGTTTCTTGTTTTTTCCTTCCTGCTAGCACTGCGTCTCTCTGTTTCTTTCTTTATTTCTGTTTTTTTACTGGCGTTTTGTCCTCAGCTGCGACTGGCCTGAGCCTCCCTGGCAGGCATCATCCCCCTCAGTCAGTCTGACCGCCCACAGCACGGTGGTGTCGGAGGTGGGGGGAGAAAGTGCTGCTTTGTGAATGACGGGAGCGGCAGAGCACAGAAAACAAACTTTAGCAATAATATTTCCGACGGGGAAGTGATTTTACATCCAGTCGAGAAGTTTGAGCTGCCGAACCAGCGACACCTGGACGAAGAGGACCGAGAAAAATCTGTAAGTCGCGACGCTTTTTAGGACCTTGTGTGGCAATGATAGAAATCAGATTGACAGCCTTTTTTTTCTTCTTCTTCTTTTCGACGGAAAGATGCATGCATAGCAGCCTAACCGTGACCGGAATAACTGCAGTGAGATGCGAGATAATTTGGTGAAAGAATTTAACTCCACAGGCGTTTTTCCCCTCCTCTCTCCAACCAAGAAGAGTGACTGCCGTGCAATCTAATGTAGTCTCCCTAACACACATTTTTAAAAAATTAATTAAAAGCTAATGTTAAATACTGTGAAGATTAAGCTTTAGATTGACTCAGAAATGGGATAAGTAAATAAGAAAGGCTGGGAAGGCTGATGCCTCTCTCGTATAGTTCAAAGTATATGTGGCTGTTTAGTTTCTTAATCCCATTTATTCACTTGTGTGGCATTTCATCGTTTCACGCAAAGTTTCCTTCTGCTTGCCTCTGCGTTTCGCAACAATTCATGACTCATTCAGAAGACGTGCATTCCCACTGTCACCATGAACGAAAAAAAAAAATACACTCATAGAGGACTCATTCATGATATTATGAGGCTTCTCCTCAAGTGGTGAACAACTGTGAAATGTCACTCAGGCTTATTAATACTCCTTAACTAAGTTTATTTCACTGAAGAATGCAACTGGTGGTCTCCCCCCCTCTTTTTTTTGTCTTTGCAGAAGCTTCCGAGCTGCTTCAGTGAAGCTGTGAACCATGGCGGTCGGTCTAGCCTGCGTTGCCTGTTTCTGCCTGGTGGTGATGGTTGGAGGTGACCCCTGCCTCATCATCAGCGAGATCAATGCTGACAACCCAAGACTGGACACCACTGAGTTCGTGGAGTTGTATCACACCAGCGGACAGCGGGCCCCGCTGGATGGGTACACCCTCGTGTTCTATAATGGAAACGGAAATATAGCCTACAAGGTGCTGGACCTCAAGGGCCACAGCACGGATGACAGAGGTTTCTTCTTGGTGGGCTCGGTGGACATGCTCC